TGGGCGGCCTGTGCGTGGAAGTGGCTGCACATCACATGCACAGGCACTGGTGAAGGCGAGACAAAAGTACCAAATGAGCTGGTCAAACATTTGTACAACTTTTCCAGCTTTTACAAAGAAGGCCTTCTATACACAATCTACACTTGGAGATGAACTTGGAAAACAAAGAGGGGGGAGTCCATTGAAACTCACACTTTGGCTTTGCACAGACAAAGCTTCAGCTAGCAGCAGCTTGATGTGAACAAAAGAAGGCAACCTTTTTATAATTCAAGGAGAAAAGAAGAGAAAACAGCCCCACAAAAGGCCGAGAAAAGACATTATGGGCTTGCAATGAGGGATGAATTATTCAATGAGCCCCTAATAGCCAACGCTCCACGCAGTTTTATGGACTCTCTCCACCGTGGAAAAAGTAACTGTTTTTACTTAGAAAATGTTTCTAGCATTTCTAGACATTTAGAGGTGCTGAGTGCCATTCAAAAAGAACAACTGAAACCTGTTCTTTGAAAGTAGAATATCTCCTTGTTTTGTAGGAACAAACCCTAAAACACTCCCAAAACTTAGTTTTCAACTCTGTTAGTAAAGCTTTCACGGAAACCGCATCTTCTGTGTGTTTCTGTTTGTGTGGATGCATGTAATAAACACGCAGAATATGCTAACAAAGTAATAGATTAAGGTGAGAAGGCACAGTTTGATTACCCCTGTACGATGGGTCACCGTTTCCCCCTGAACCTCCTGCAACGGACAATTGTCCTGAAAAGGACGTGCACCAAGGGAAAAATAGCTAAACTCAGTGCCCTAGTTGTTTTAAAATCTCTAGCTTTTCTGCCTTCCTGAATTTCTCAGCAGAGATTAAAAACAGAAGATAGGAAGCCTTGATAATATCCCTGCTTTATGGAACAAAATTAATTAATAGAGACAGCAGGAGAAAAAATATTATTCTCAAAATAACCTGCCCCTCTACTTCTCTTTGAAATACTCTTCCTGTTTTTTGACTCTTTGCTCTTTAAAGCGGGGCTCCTGATCTACTGTAAATCAGTGTCTGGGTGCGTGGCTGCCGCCCTCCAGCCCATGGGAGCCCTCAGACTCTTGCAGGAAAAGCACTGGGTCTGGCGCTGCCCTGCTGCAAATGGGGGCTTGCTTGTGCCCCCCAGCACGGTCTGAGGAGGAGGCTGCGTTCTGTCCTCCGATGTACCCTCTCCTTCACTATTTGCAGATGCGAGTCTCCGATTTTGCGTAGGTTTTTGCAGGATGAATGTGCCGGGCAGTTCTGCGCAAACGGCAGCTTGATAATCCCGTCTGTTCTGTGACAGTGCCTGGGAAGGTTTGGCAGTTGGAGGGAGAGCGTGCTCTTCCCCGCAGCAACGCCTGCTCCCCCTCCCTGACTAGCAAGCTGTTGCTTAATCTTATTACTGGAGTGGCTGGGATGCTGCAGTGCGAGAGAGCTGCTGCTCAAGAAAGGATTCGTTGCTATACATACGCCTTACGTATAGTATAGTGTGATACCATAGGGGCAACACACCGGAGAGCTCGTTACAAGAAAAAAAACCAACCATAAAATAAGTCCACTGCAACTTTCCATACCCGGCCAACAAAAAGGGTTCTGCTTCAACTCCCATTGCCAGCAGAGGAGCTTCCATTTCACCCCGTCTATAAAAATCATCAGGTCAGATCCCGCTGTCTTACTGAAATAACTGGCAGCGCTCCTGAGGATTTTGATGCTGCGGGATCGTATTTGCTAGCGCCCACCAGCCTGGGCGGGAGGCCTGGTGTGGCAGAGGGTGCGCGCTGGCGGGGCGGCTCGGATGCCCTCCCCGGCACTTGGGTTGCTTGCGCTGTGTCCAAAGGTTATACCGGTGGGGTGTAGCAAAACCCTGGCGTGGCAACTCACCGCTGAGGGCCCTCCGTGGGAGGGCTCTGCATCACAGAGTGAAAAAAGTGCAGTATTTTGGAGTCTTTTCTGGTTTGAGAAATTTGTATTGCTCTGGTCTCAGGGGCTCAAGGTATCCCAGCAGCAGGAGTGTGAGTGCAGAGAGGAGCAAGGGAAAGCTTTTGGTTAGGTGAGAAAGCAAGTCTTGGGGCTGAGCATGGAGCAGGGAATTGTTCTCCTGCTCAGGAGCGCATATCTAGTGCTGGATGTTTGCTGATATTGCCTGAAATCCTCTCCTTACCGTGGGCATTTGGGTGGCTCCGGGAGAGGCATTTTTGCCAAGGGCAAGGATAACAATTTTTGTAATTTTAATGGCAGCTAATTCAAGATTTGGGATTTGGGGAGTACTTACAGCACAGTGGGATTAGAGAGAAGAGAAACATGATATTTTTGAAAAATGTGCAATAGAAACAGTATATCATGTGGCTTGGGATTTCTCCCATCACGTAAATAAGCGTAGGTAAACTTTCGTATGCCCCACTGTGATTCTGTTTCAATCTGTTCACGGACACTTAAATCTGATTCCCTCGCCGGCCTTTACAGATGCCACATGTGCAGCCCACTTTGCTGTATTTCGCCATTTCTGTCAGTGTCACCCTCTACCCTGATTTTGGATGTGTATATAAAGAAAACCTTGATTGTCACAAAGCTTATAATTCTAGAATAGCATATTTATATTTCTGCATGCGTGATATATTTTTCTTAAAGGCATAAGCTCTAAATAAAGAACATGAAAGAGAAACTTTTTGTGCCTTTATATGGCACATCGGGGCATATTTTTAGCATAACCGCTCTGGAAGAGGGAGTCGCTTGTACCTTTAGCTGGAGTTATGCGCGCCATGGTTTGCTGACTAATCTGATAACTCCCCGCTTCATAAGATAGCTGTTGTTTTCTGGCAGAAACTGGTGGCTTTCAGCGCTCTGACGATGGGACGTAGAGCTGGTCCTGGGGCTGCTGTGAGCGGGCGGCGCTGGCAGGGGCTGGGGCTGGGACCCCCCCTCCTGCCCTCAAAGGGGTTCTCTGTTCCCAGCCGGTGGAATTGGCCCCCGGGCCCTGTCCTGGCGGATCCTCCCCCAGTCATGCGCACCCGTCCAAAAAGGGCCCTACTCATCCCAAGCCTCTACCCTTGGCTGTACTGAGAGCAATTCAGGCTACAGCAGACTAAATTGCCTCCTTTATTTCCTTCTTACTTTCATCTTGGACCAAACCCTTCCCCCTCTCTCCCTCCCCTTCCTCTTTTCTTTTTTTTTTTCTTTTTTTTTTTTCTGTGTGCCTGAGGCTCACATTAATACAATTTCGGCACCACCCCTATTTTTGTGTGTGTATGTGGGGAGTTTGAAGGGGGGGGGAAGGGACCTTAGCACAAAAGCCCTGCTCAGCAGCTAGAAAGTTCAAGCTGCTGCTGCTTCTCTAGCTGTGTGATGCTTTTCCTGTTTGCGAGTTTTGGGAAACATTTTTGCTTTGTACTGTAATGGAATTAGAGGACAGATGCTGACTGTAAATGGGACACGCGACTACCAGCCCCAAGCTTAAATATTTAGATGCAATGTTACAATTACTGACTTGATGCACAGGCTTTGAAGTGGTGGCACATGATCTAAAGGGTAGCCTGGGCTAGATGGGCTTGCAGATGTTTTGATTAGAGTTGGTCAGTATCATGCAGCCAGTTATTTTTAGGTTGTTAAACCAATAAAGGCAGTTTATAAAGGGACAGGATTAACATGCAGGCACCAGATATCAGTTTGAGTCATCCCATTCATTTCTGCATCGTAGACTGTCGGGTTAGCACACGGAGGAAGCATGGGACAAGGCAGATGCTGAGTTAGGTTTTGCTTGTGATGTTCTGATGCAGGGTTTGTCGTGATTTTGCTCCAGCATCTCCTCCCAGGGAACAGTGGTAAGAGGACTTACTCACTGTGTGAAATACCGTTGCGTCTTACGGCTGAGAAGTACAGTATGTTCCCCCGCTCAATGTTCCTGGTAAA